TACACAATTATTAACTGAAGATAAGGCTGAATCCATTGTTCTTATCCGAAAACCCTCCAACCGAAGCCTATAAATACAAGACTAGGGGCTCATTTCACGGGGCTGGAGATCAGGGGGCGAAATGCTGCTGAAGTGGAGAGTAGAGCCATGAATTTACAGCGAGGGTTAGCAGATCTTGGTTAATTATTGTACATAAAGAGTGGAGTTCGAGAGATCTGAGACCCGTCGCCTATTCCTCCGGATTTAAGCTTGGTCTTAAACCTCGAAAAGAGCCGTGATCTCGCTTGGTCGAGATTATCGCTGATGCGATTACTTTCTTCGTGAAGTAAGAGCTTTGATCAATTTAATCTGTCAACCGGATCTGATCCGCGACGGTCCATGGATATTAACGTCCCCGGCACAGGCGAAGTTCTCATGCAAGCAGCGGGTGATAAACGTCTGTTGCGCTGTTTGACAAGAGTTGTACTATTTTACATTTTCATTGTATAAGTCGATCTTATAAAAAGAGAAAGTGTATTTTTAAGATTTTACATTGAGTAGTCGACTATAAAGGTAAATAGTCGACTATAAAGTAATAAATTTTTTTTTTTAGAAAAAAAAGTTTGTAAGACTTGTGCATGTAGTCGACTATAAGTCAAATTAGTCGACTACTTAAGATTTAAATTTATGTATTTTTGTTTTAAAAAAAATTAATTTAAATCTTCAAATGAACATATACCTAATTCCCTTCTTAATTTAACATAAACTTCTTCTTTTAGGGGTTTTGTTAATATATCTGCAATTTGTTTATCTGTAGGTATAAATTCCAATGATATGTCACCTTTAAGCACATGATCACGTAGAAAATGATGTCTAATATCAATGTGTTTTGTACGTGAGTGTTGAATAGGATTTTTAGATAAATTAATTGCACTAGAATTATCACACATAATAGATGATATGGGACAAATTATGCCATAATCAGTTAAAGTTTGTTTCATCCACAATATTTGTGCACATGCATAATCAGTTAAATGTTGAATATCATTTCTCCATGATAATGTTTTGATGATAACAATCTATATTGTGTGTGCACTAACTTTCATATACAGATTTCAATATCAGAATATGTACAAGGTGGAGTTCGAGAGATCTGAGACCCGTCGCCTATTCCTCCGGATTTAAGCTTGGTCTTAAACCTCGAAAAGAGCCGTGATCTCGCTTGGTCGAGATTATCGCTGATGCGATTACTTTCTTCGTGAAGTAAGAGCTTTGATCAATTTAATCTGTCAACCGGATCTGATCCGCGACGGTCCATGGATATTAACGTCCCCGGCACAGGCGAAGTTCTCATGCAAGCAGCGGGTGATAAACGTCTGTTGCGCTGTTTGACAAGAGTTGTACTATTTTACATTTTCATTGTATAAGTCGATCTTATAAAAAGATCTACTTTTCTCGTTTATTTGAGTTTATTGTAACGACTAAAGTTGTAATAGATTCAAAACAATGAAAACATCGACTTTTGACCCAAACACTAATAACCTGTTACCAAAACAGATTAGAAATCCTAATAACCTGTTACGAAAACAGATTAGGAATCCTAATAACTTTTTACCAAAACAGATTAGGAATCCCAATAACATGTTAACAAAACAGATTAGGAACCTGCTATCCAATAATTCTCCAACACGATGAAGTGTTTTCAAAACTGAGTCGACACCAATACCAACCAAACATCCCACTTGTTACGTCCAATACGAAGTGGAACAAATCCATGACAATGGACTCAATCCACAACAAGTCGAGACCCAAACGAAAATGTGAACACTCTCCAAATATCGGTATTAACTCACCAAACCGGCTGCGTCATAAATGACTGCCTACGTATCCTCTTGTCTAAGAAATCAAGCCTTCACGTAGTTCACCAAATAGCCTCTAAAGACCCTCAATCCAATAGAAGAGTTCGTAACCCTTCTCCAACATCGTCATCAAATCTGCGTCTGATAACTCTCGTAATGGCCCCAAAGTGAAACAATCCAAACACCTCCACCTAAGGTGAACCAATGGTCATAACCAAATGCAAACTATGTCCACCAGCTGCACTCGAATCCAAAACAAACTCATCATCTGCATCCAAATCCAAATGATCCCCAAACTGTGTCACCTCAGCTGGAATCCCAAACGATGCAATATGATCTGGAGTATGTAGAGTAATCTCCACCTAATGTGGAGTAGTATCACTCTCCACCCGTTGTGATATCTCAATGATCTGATCAACACTCTCTACCTGCTGAGAGTCAAAAGTGACATACCTGCTCAGAACAAAATCAGAGTCTCCCAACTGATAACCAAACGAGCCTCTGAATCCTAAATGTGTAATCGGATCAAATCTCACATCCTCGATGTGACCAAATACTGGGAAACCAAACATCCGACGTAACCCAAAATCTAAAGCAGTTCCACCAGATCCAAAATCTCCACACACAGTAGTCAGCAACATATGAACAAGATGACCCAAATATGTCAAAACTCCAAAACTCCTCTGCAATCCAATGCTAGACAACCAACTACGATCCTCCTCCAGCAAGGAACGACCGATCAAAACTGTCATCTCATCTCATCGCCCCAATGTTTCCTCTCCAATGAAGTGTCTCAAACTGTCATGAGCTCGGTACAAATGCAAGAAAGAGCTCTTACTAAAATAAGAACAATGAATTCCCTTTCTGTCAATACACTTCCTCCATCTATTGTTGACTTCTAGGACTTCACACCAACGGGACTTGGTTACAACCTACCAATACCTAGAACAGTCCCCAACTATGAAAACCAAATACCGATTACATTCCAATGATGCCTCCTTGGAAGGCCCCCAAATACCTGAATGAACATCACCTAAAAGACCCCTCAATCATCGCATAAAAGTGCCAAACTCCACCTCGGTCTCCTTGCTCATACCAATGTGCTCAAAGAACTTTAATATACATTTTAAGGGACTTCTCAATAATCCAATATCCCAGCCTCAACTCCTTTTTCTTGGTAATCTATCTCAAAGCATCAACAAACCAATGCGGAACAAACAAAGAATAGATCCAAACTGATAAAGGAAAGATTTTTACCTCCAATTGAAACCCTAACAAGAGCCTCCGAAAGATCTCACCCCGCACGACGGAAACGAGATCCACAAATAGGAAAAATCCCACATTTATCACCAACTGAAGCCTTAGACAAACTTCCAAAGCGATCTACTCCTCCAATTAGTCCAAGAGTAGCCCAAACTCTGATACCACTTGTTAGGCTCTGATACCACTTGTTGTGCACGGGAGAATCCAAAACCAAACCGATGTGCTTCGAGAGACCAAATCAAACAAACGTCGAGAGAAGGCCAAACAATGCAAAATAACGACACAAACTCAAACAACCAATTTTAACGTGGTTCGGCAAGTTAGCTACGTCCACGGGGCAAGAAGGGAATGGGATTTTCACTAATGGAGAAGAAGAGTACAAACTTAGATTACAAAATCACACAAACTCACCAATTAATCTCACCAACAAATCTCGAATTCTCTCCAAACAAAACCCTAACCAATAGCTCGGAAAATACCTCTTTTCTGTGCTCCAAATATCCCCTTCGCTGCCCAATTCTCTCTTCCAATCGTTCCATATATATATAGAAATCCTAAAACCAAAAACATACTAGGAATTCTAAAACCAAAATCAAAACAGATTAGGAATCCGAATAACATGTTACCAAAACAGAGTAGGAATCTCAATAACCTGTTACCAAAACATATTAAGAATCACAATAATATGTTACCAAAACAGATTAAGAACCTGCTATCCAACATCTGCATCTTATAATTATTAGTTACTTCCTAACAATATTTTTTTAATTTTTTACCAAAACAAAAAAAAAATAAAGAAGAAGTGCCACTTCCACTATTTTCAAAATGTATGAAACAAAGAAATAAAGTAGTATCTTTCGCTACTTACTGGTTCATAATTTTAGAAATCACTTATAAAGAAACTCTCTACTTCTAATACTTCCCGCCATCCAATTAGCGTTTCTTCTCGGAAAAAAATCCTAAAATATGTTTTGCCCCAACTTTCAGCGAATCTTTTAGCAAGCTCAAGAGAGTTTCGTGACGTACCCCAAAGTTTGCAAGGATTCTAATTATTAGAGTTCACGGTCATCATTATAAATCACCATAGAGTTTGGGCGTTCTGTGAAATATGTTACACACCAACTTTCACTAATCTCCATTACGTTCAAACACCAGTCCGTCATAGTGACATAGAAATGAAGAATTACGAAGAACTAGAGGTTTTACTATGAGAATAGCGGTGCGCTATGCATTAACCCCTCGATTCTCTTTCAGTAGATGCTCTAAAGACGGAGCTAATTGGTTAACAAGAAATAGAGCTACAAGCAATACAAATCCTATCAGAGCACCTCGCATGCGGACAGGGAGTCCTAACCACCAAGGGAGGCTTGTAAATTTTTCAAATTGTCCCCCTCCCTTGCCCATGAAGGGCACAGATCGTCTCAACGTCGTTGCTAAATTTATATTCTTAGGGTTTGCTTAGCAACAACGCATAGGGCATGGTAAGTATTTAGTTTTTTTTAAATCTTCATATTTTTTTTTTATAAAAAGGGACATTAAGCCGTAACAAATGTTACAAGTCTTTTTATTAATTTAAAAAATATAAAATATCATGACAACAAGTTAGTTGAAAAATTCAGAAAATATAGATTACTTCATGTTTGCAGGTAACAAACACCTGATTCGTATGAATTTTTTTTTTTTTTTCTCTGCGTACAACATCTATTTGATTCAAAACTATATCACAAACATGGCCCGTAACCAAGAAAAGAGATGGAGACGACATGGGCATGTTAAGTACCGTTCAACGCCGCTTTGAGGATCCTATAGATCAACACAACAACAAACAAGATGTGGAATAAGTTTTTTACGAAAGAGGATGCATATAAGCTCCCCTTAAGAGATGGATTGAACAGAAAAACCGGCCCAAATAATCCTGATTGATGTCATCCATTTTTCATACGGCAGCGACGCAAAACTTCACGGAAGCAGATAGCCAAAAGTACAGTACAAAATAAAACTGTGACTCTCATAGGGGAAATATTCATTGTATATTACTATAACTAATGTCAAACTAATGATAAGGGTCAGAATAATGCAAACAAATGATAGCCTTTTGAGGAGTATAGACGATGGTCCGCAGTAAATAATGGCACAGCTGAAGGCTAAAATTAGTTTGGTTAACATCTTGCTGATCAAGAAAGTCATGTAGAAACTGTACGGGTCTTTTCTCGTGGGGGTACATGTAGAAGAGACTTCATCATATCATATGCAGTGAAACCGATGGCAACTGACGGAACAACCTACAAAAAATTTAAGCCTTTTAGTTAAACAACACTAATAATAGTTCCTATCAGATGACAATTTCTATTCTCCCTTAAGCCTATTTACTGTAAAGAGATCATCACAAGTTGGTTCTAATAAATTCTAGAAAAGGAATAAATCTGGAAAGGAATAAGTCCTATCACGTCTACTATAAAATAAAACCAGCAGATATGGCTTCAGCCGAAACTAGTGTGCACCCAATTTCTAAGGCTATTTAAAGAGAGACTAAATTTCTATCAATTTATATAAAAACAAATCATGGAACAGGTACAGGAACAAGAAAAAAATAAATCTAAACACGAAACAAGCTGTCTTCAGCAATTTTTAGTTTTAAGATTCAGGATAAAAAGGATCCAGTTACACATAAATCGAGCTATGTTTTAGTCTACATGCACAGGTTAATGAAAGGAGCTAGTATTCCTGTGAAAACACTAAGAATTGTCCCATAGAAATAAAAAAAATGTTACCCAATGATACCCACCAAGTGTTCAATGAATATTCTCAACATTATATAAGCCATGTGAATCCCCTGCCCCACAGTATTAGCATTTTTGAATGTTTAAAGTTGCATGATGACAACTTACCTTGACATAGTTGAGGCTCAATCCAGCAAACAATTGCCTCAAGCCTTGGTTGCGGATGATGGAGTTCAAACCTTGTATAGTTCCGTTGATGCGTGGAGAAGTAAGTTGATCGGATCGCCATTGGCTCTGAACCTAAAGAATAAACCCATAACATTGTCAGGCATATATGAACAGTCAAAAGTTGATCCGCAATCCAATGCTCTGTTCAAATGAAAGATGATCAACTTTCAGTCACTTTAGAGTATACACCATAACAGAAATACCTGCATTTGTCTCCTAACCACATCAAGAGGGTAGGTGAGAGTCTGTCCAAATAGACCTGCTAAAGCACCGCAAGAAAGCCGCAACGTGACAGACTTCTGGTAGTCCTCAGGAACGCGGGTCTTCAGCTCTTCATATATGTAGAACTTCAATCCAGCATAAGGAAGGATTCCGATAAGTGTTGGGCCTACATTAATTGTAAACATGATCAAGTAAAATAAGAGCTCAGAAAATGTAGCACATACTTTTGCAGCAACCATCAACTTCATCAAAATCAAGATAGGCCGTGTAGACATTATGGGCACAAGTCAATGAAGAATGGAAATAATGGTTAAGTTTGTGGAGTAGATTAAAAGAAATATTTTGCTGGTAGCAAGAATGAGCAACGGACTAGTGGATCAGTACTCGATTAAACTGAAGGGCCTGAATTTTCTAAAGAAAATAGAGCTCTTTTCTGCCACTAAAACAACACACCACACATAAAGGTAGACTCCTAAAAGTTCCTGTCGGCATAGAAAGCAATGGAAAGAAATGCTTACCGTTTCTGTTATCTCAACACAGAAAACCATGTTCCTCCTTTAGTAAACTCCCAACACTATTTTTTAAAAACTGGAGATCAGCTTGTATTAATTATAGGTTTATTAAGATATAGGTGCCTCAATGAATATATTTTTTTAGTCCCCACATATGTGGCTAATAGTCTGGCAAAATGTGGCACTGACTGGTTAAAGAGTCATCGTCATGGTTGGAAACCATCCAGAAACCGAGATATGTTAGACTTATACCCGTCTTGATTCAAGATGATGCTGCATTACCTCTTCCCAGCCCGTTACTTTTTGAACGAAAATGCCCTGACCTAAGTTGCATAAGTATGGGTACCAGTATGAGTGCAGCATACAGCAAATTCGTAAAAGGTAGGGCAGTAGGGATACATGTTAGACTTATACCCGTCTTGATTCAAGATGATGCTGCATTACCTCTTCCCAGCCCGTTACTTTTTGAACGAAAATGCCCTGACCTAAGTTGCATAAGTATGGGTACCAGTATGAGTGCAGCATACAGCAAATTCGTAAAAGGTAGGGCAGTAGGGATAC